ATCACAGACTGCAGAGAAGGTCTTCATCCCAGGCCAAGTCATTCACATCTACTGCTCCCACATCTAAACGTCATCGACTCATCTGCCCCAATCGTCTGCTCTCGCTCCCTTGTATTTGTTGCGAACACACGGAGGAGACCATCATAAAATATCATCAAACACCTTTAGCACAGCTCTGCTTCTCCAAAGTAAGACATCACGTTGACTTCAGCATCCTGGTGAAGAAGTGGCAAAGAATGACCTTGACAGAGCTATTTAAACCAACGTTGCTTCAGAAAGGACAGTGTCCATTGAGAAATCCTGGCAGAAGTAAGGTGAAACTAGTTTCAGGTTTGTGTCCTAAATATGCTGCCCAATTAATTTTGGAAATGTACGTACTACAGCTTTATAAAGTCAGGCATCTCATCAGCCACAGGTAGAACTAATGCCTCTCAATAGTCCTGCACCTGCACTTCTCAAAACTGGAGCTTTCACAGAATCACAGACTGGTTTGGGTTGGAAAGGACCTTAAAGACCATCCAGTTCCAACCCCCCTGCCACAAGCAGGGACCCCTTCCACTAGACCAGGTTGCTCCAAGCCCCATCCAGCCTGGCCTTGAGCACTGCCAGGGAGGGGTGGCCACAGCTTCTCTGGGCAGCCTGTGCCAGTGCCTCACCACCCTAACTGGTGAAGAATTTCTTCCTCACATCTAATCCAAATCTCTCCTCTTTCAGTGTGAAACCATTACCCCTCATCCTATCACTGCCCTCCCTGATCAAGAGTCCCTCCCCACCTTCCCTGTAGCCCCCTTTAAGCACTGGAAGGCTGCTGTAAGGTCTCCTGGAGCCTTCTCCAGGCTGAACAATCCCAATTCTCTCAGTCTGTCCTCACAGGGGAGGTGCTCCAGCCTCCTAAGCACCTTCATGGCCCTAACTTTAATTATGTTTTCATTATGAATTGAACTAGAAGAAAACTGAGGACATGAAATACATGTGCATTCACACCTTCACCTCCACAGCCTGAGGAGAGATCAACCCTCCCAAAGCCACAGAGCTTTGCAGTAGAGATGACACACCCACGTACTTACTTTAATAAATAATAGGATTGGACACGGGGCTATAAACACCAAATAAAGCTCTCCCTTTGATCTTTACAGAATATTTAATGAAATCTCCCAAAAGTGAGTGACAAAAATATTACAACACTGAACTTCAAAGATAGCCCTTTTCTCCAATTACCAAAAAACCTAACTTCCCTCCCCCTCTGAGCTAAACTTAGCTACTTCTATGCAGGATGAGTAGATCTACTGCATGTTCACAGTCCCATTACCTCGGTACTTTAATTGCTGAGCTAAATTTGTATTTAGCAAATTTCACACGTTCTTGAAAATGACAGGAAGAAAATGGCAAGGACTTCGTAACAGATGTACTATAAACACAGCAGTACAAAACCCACGCCGTGTTTGCAGCTTGCTGCCCCTCAGCTAAGTCAACGATGAATACTTTCAAAGTGTTCTTTGAATTTCTGTATTTAGGAATTTTCAAAAATAATAACCACTCTAACAATATTTTGCATTCCACTGTGTAGAAATTTTGTACGAAATAATGTCCAAAGAGACCTGTCTTCACTGTAACATTAATTTAACAGCGAACAGCTTTATTCACACTCATATGCAAACACACGTGACACTAGTCCGACACGCAGACGGCAAGAGGCAGCTGCTTAGAAAGACACATTCATCCATCTTAAGCACCCTGACCCATCCATAGTGTTGGAAGATTTGTTGATCCACTATGTTTTCCTCCAGGGGAAGACGGGGAACATTCAGATGGTGCATTCTGCTGCGTGTTGAACTGGTCACTGTTTTGGCCATCTCCCTCTTTTACACTTTGCTGCGCAGGAGAGAAGCCGTCCATGCAGCCTACTGTTTTTAACACATGTAAATGCAAACATAGTTGTTTCTCTATTCTTCAGGGACTCTTCTTCTTGCTTTTCTCTTCCTCCTTAAGCTCCTTTGCATTACATCTGGACCCCAGCGCTGTTAACATTTCTATTGTTGTCAGGTTGGCTCCCTTCATTATCAATCGCTCTCCATCAGCTGTAGAGGGAAAAAAATTTAAGAAGTCACAACTACCTTTGTGTGCAGTTCTGGTTTGTGCATATAAATCCAAACACCATGTTCATCTTGCCTAACTACAAAGTACTCCATTTACCAAGGAATCTGATTATGCACGACCAACAAACAAATATATTAAAATGCACACAATACACATGTAATTTTCATTTCTGAATTGCATTATTGAAAAATCTGAAACATTTCTCTAGATATACCTACAGTAAGAACATGTATTTGTTGAGAATGGCTCATACTGTGCCCTTAAAGCCATCTAACAGAAGGCACAGAAAGGACTGGAAGGCATAATTTCCACACATGGCTCAGAATTTTAGCAGCATGTTGTCTATGGTCCGTTTAACTTACTTCTTTAGCCAAAACAATGAATTGGTTTGCACAATCTGGTGGCTATAACATAAAAAAACAGAGACCACTAGGGTTTCTAAAATTCTGAAAGAAACTATTTTAAAACAAGGAGAAGGCAGCAGAAGTTAAGTATTGTGTCTAAGTTAATTATTTATTTTTGCAAGATTTGCAAACATAAAAGCCATAATCAAACCCATACAACGCAGTACCATGCATGGCACCCAAGTTCCAGACCCTTGTTTGCACACTAGAAGGGCTGCAAACTCTTCACTTGGAAGATAACCAGCTCTTAGAAAACAAAGAGTTCAGAGCTGTAGCTCTTGGCATTAGTGCAATAAATTGTTTTGGTTTTACACTGTGAAAAACATTAAGCTTTACTGCATAAGTCTAATACATCACAGTTAGAGCACAGATGGGAAAGACAGGCATGGGGAGGGAGAAACAAGCAATGTCAACACTGACATAACTACACTTTCCGAAGCAAAACGAAGTACATCCAACACTCTTGACATTTCTACTGATTCACTAAATATATGGATTTTTAAGGAAAAGAGGGTAGCAAGAATCAATAATAATGAAAACTTTAATGGTCTACATGACACATTGGTCCATTACAGCACAGCAGGAAAGAAGATGCAGCCAGAGAAAAGGACAAAAGCAGATTAGAGCCATCTGTTCACAGCCTAGAATCTGGGCCGCTTCCAGAACTGATGAATTTCCACCATCACTCCCCTGCCCACTTGCTATACCCTCAAAGGAAACCAAGAAATTTGTTGTACATCAGTTGACCCCGTTCTGCAAGTCCATCTGCACACGTATGGTCTCACCCATATGAGCAGTTCCTTCAAGCTGCACAGGCAGTTACTCTGCTGCATAAGCAACTAAAGGTATCCAGCTTTTCTGTTCTCAAGACTGAGATGCCTCCACCACAGATAACATTAAAAAGTTACAGAAAGTGATCAGATTCTTACACCCAAAGAGAGCTAGGTTCCTTCCCCGGAATTGTACCTGACTGCAAGGTCCCACAAGCAAGTCACTACAAAAGTAGACTCAACCCTAAAGTTAAGCCAGTTCTTTGATCTAAGATCCACCAGCTCTAGCTGTAGTACAAAGACACCCACACACATCTAGCTAGACATCTACGCTGTCAGGGACTGCCCCTTCCTCTCTTCCTCCCGGCTGTGCAACATCTAGCTATGGACCAGAACCAAAAAATAGTAACCACAGTAAAAAAAACACCACAGAAAGACAGTAACATCATAACAACAAAAACCTAGAAGGTGTGGGGTGTTGGGGTTTTTTTGTCAAGATTAAAACCAAGCTGCTTACCAAACATAACATCTACGAGTGGTTCAGACCCATCATGTCTCACATCAGCAGTCACTTCACAGTTTCTATTCGTGGCCTGGATTCTTTTATGATTTATATATCCAAGAAATTTTCTGAAAACATATTTGAAAATATATTAAGTACTTTGTAGACAGAAATTATAGTAAGTATATTTCTAAAACAAATTTGATTATTTTGGTATTGCTGGGCAAGAAAAGTATAAACAAAATAGGATTTGTATTTAATAATTTCAGACAGGTACTTCTTACGAGATAATCACTCTTAAAAATCCAAACAGATTGTCCTTATATGCTAACACATAAAAATTGCACAGAAGAATTTTGCAAATATTCAGTGTATGCACTTTCTATGTTTCTCTCAGCTGGGTTAGTAACAACAACAAAAAGAAATCAGCAAAATAATTTTCATTCTTCTGTATACAGCAGTTGCTTGCCAATGTTTTATTGTTTGGGTTTGAGACCACACTTATTTATTTAACATCACCCATCTCCTGTAGATTTCTGAAATGTGTGACAGCTACTGGACATTCTGGCCGCTTAAAGACATTCTAAGTTAAGTTGTGTTACTAAGTTCACTTCGAAAGTGGACGTGTCTGTAAAACTATTGCAAAATGACCTTTTACAATCATTTGGTGCAGAATTTGCATCACTCAAGAAGCATAATTACTTAGCCTTCTCCAACAGTTAATTACCAAGACAGAGCAGCGGCTGTTGCCCCCTCTCTCTCCCGTTACCAGCACTTGGACTAGTGATTACAGACCCCACGTACAGGCCCAGCAGCTGAGAGGGGCATCTCCCTGGGCGGTTTAGCAAAGCTAAATGCACATGTCTACATGTAAGGGTCTATCCCTGGGCACGGAAATCCTCAAAAAATCTGGCCAGAAGGAATGCTGTGTGTATCCTAGCAAGGCATACCGTAAATACAGCATCTTCTCGTTCTGAAACGCTAAGGTTCTCCCTAGACTGAGCTACAAAGCCCTGACAAATGCAAGCCTTCAGAAACTAAGATCACGAAAGCACAGCGGATGCAGGAGTTTCGGAAAAGGAGATTCTTCTCCAGAGAGTGAACCACAGATGCTGCAATTTCCCTCACGATTTGCTCCCAGGACGTATTCTCACTTCTGATGACTGCAGGCCCCCTGCCCTCCAACGCTTCCTCGGGCGGAGGAAAGCGGGCCCGCGCCTCCCGCCAGGCAGTAGGCACGGCAAAGGACCCAGGCCACACTGCGGGCATACGTAACCCTAGCCTCTTCCCCGCTCCCCTCCGCAAATAAAGGTAATTAAAGGCAAAAACCGCAGCGCTCACACC